AAATAATTGCAAACTGGACTTTCTGGAACACACCAACAGACTGTCCCAAAGGAACAGGACTATTTTTACACAGAAGAATTATATCATAAATTCAATTTCCTATGGCTGGCCTGAGATTCTCAGACAAGAAACCTGGGCTGTTTTCTAGAAGGGCTGGGGGAGCCCAAGAGAGGCAAATGACCTTGTGAAGAGCTTAGGCACACTCCAGTTTGGGGCAGTGGAGTGATTGACTAAGCAAAGGCTTTGGAATTATTGGCGTCCCATGAGCGTGGCACCAGGCTAGCAGGTCAGGGACTTGAACCCACTGGAGACATCTAGTTTCTCATGTCCACTGTCCACTGGTGTGTTTGTCCTGGAATTCTAGGAACCTTGGCTGGGACATTTCTCAGTGTCATTTGGCCTGGCTCTTTAATGCAGATTAAGTCACTAGAAAGTCCTCCTTTCCCCCACGGACAAGGTCAATAGGGGTTGGTGACAGGGTGACTGGGAAGGATGAAGGTCAGGCATATTAGATAGGGGCTGAGGTTGGGGATAAACAGAAGTGAACCCAGACCTCCCACTGAGCCTTTTGCCAAATTTCAAATTTGTCTAGCCTACTCAACTAAAAATACTCTGTTTTATGGGGTTTGTTTTTAGTTTTTTAAAAATATTTTATTTATTCTTCTTCTTTTATGTGTATGTATATAAAGTGCACCCATGTCATACAATGTCTATGGAGGTCAGAAGAGGGTGTTGGATCCCCTGGAATTAGAGTTATAGACAGTTGTTATCTACCATGTGGGTGCTGGGAACTGAACCCAGGTCTTCTGCAAGAGCAGCCAGTGCTCTTAACCATTGAGCCATCTCTCCAGCCTGTTTTTGTTGTTGTTGTTGTTGTTTTTTGTTGTTGTTTGGTTTTTTTGAGACAGGGTCTTGATATATAGACCAGATTGGCCTTGAACTCAGAGAGATCCACCTGCCTCTGGCTTCTGAGTGCTGGGATTAAAGGTGTACGGACCATGCCCAGCTATTTTTGTGGCTTTTAAATTAATTTTATTTATTCATTTTGAGAGTCTTACACAGTCTAGGCTGTTTTTAAAGTCACCATGTAGCTAAGACTGGCCTTGAACTCCTGATTCTCCTGTCCTCTGCCTCCCAAGTGCTGAGATTATAGACCCACACCACCATACCCAGTTCTTAAGTTAGTCTCTTTTTAAAAATTCATTTATTTTTATTTTATGTGTATGAGTGTTTTGCATGCATTTATGTAAGCACTCCCATGTGTGCAATGCCTGCGGAGGATAGAAGAGTTGATTGGATCCCCTGGAACTGGAGTTATAATCAATTGTTAGCTGCCATGTGGGTGCTGGGACTTGAACCCAGGTCTTCTGCAAGAGCAGTCAGTGCTCTTAACCATCTCTCCATCTCCTCTCTTTATTTTTTTGAGACAGGCTTTTACTGTGTAGAA